AACAAAGGCGCTCACCAGCGCCATCTCCCTTGCCCATCCCCCAGCCAAAATCCCAAAGGGAACCCTTTCCCATCATTGAACTTGCTTGCACCGCACAAACACTCAACGCTGTGCTTCTGTGAATGCATCCCTCCGGCGGTCTACCTCCCTCCCAGTGCTGCAGGGCCCCTCCTGGTGTGGAAAACCGAAGGTAAAATGAGCTGAGTCTGCCCCTCTCGCCTCTGTGCACCCTGCAGATCCACCCTGGCTAATACGGCAGATCCCATAGAAGCAGCACCACAAGCCTGGCAGTGTGCAAGTAGCCCAGACAGGGGCCACACCACTCCACAGTGAGTCCTGCCTCTGGGAGAGGGGAAGATAAGGTACACACCAGTATGACTGTGGCCACAGCGGTGGGTTGGGAGCAGACATCAGGTCTGACTGCAGCCCCTCCCACCAACACATGTTGCTCCAGACAGCACAGAGGAAGAGGCCTGCAGTTCTGCACAACTCCAGCGACTATCCAAAATGATGAAATGGAAGAATTCATCTCAAAAGAAACTCCAGGAAGTAGCAACAGCTAACGAACTGATCAAAAACGATTTAAGCAACGTAACAGAAAATGAATTTAAAGTAATAGTCAAAATTAATTGTTGAGCTGGAAAAAAGCATAGAAGACAGCAGAGAATCTATTACTACAAAGATCAAGGGACTAAGAAACAGTCAGGAGGAGCTAAAAAATGCTATAAATGAGCTGCAAAATAAAACGTAGGTGACCACAGCTTGGGTTGAAGAGGCAGAGGAGAGAATAGGTGAAATAGAAGATAAAATTATGGAAAAAGAGGAAGTGAGAAAAAGAGAGATTAAAAAAGACAGGAGTATGAGGGAAGAATTAGAAAATTAAGTGATGCAATGAAACGCAATAATATGCGCATAACTGGGATTCCAAAGGAGAAAGAGAGAGAGAAAGGTGCTGAAGGTGTACTGAAGAAATCATAGCTGAGAACTTCCCTGATCTGGGGAAG